CGCCCATCCCTAAATACCAGCACATCATCTACCTCGCCCATCCCACAATACCAGCACTGCATCTACATTGCCCATCCCATCCCACAATACCAGCACATCATCTACCTCGCCCATCCCTCAACACCAGCACATCATCTACCTCGCCCATCCCTCAATACCAGCACTGCATCTACATCGCCTATCCCTCAATACCAGCACATAATCTACCTCGCCCATCCTTCAATACCAGCACTGCCTCTACATCGCCCATCCCTAAATACCAGCACATCATCTACCTCGCCCATCCCACAATACCAGCACGGCATCTACATTGCCCATCCCTAAATACCAGCACATCATCTACCTCGCCCATCCCACAATACCAGCACAGCATCTACATCGCCCATTCCTAAATTCCCGCACTGCATCTACCTCGCCCATCCCTTAATTCCACTACTTTACCTTCACCCCCCTTCCCACGCTAATACTTAAACATATACAACAACACCGCACCTCTCCAAATTGTCTCTCAGCTACGTTATTGCGGGCGACAGGTGTCGCCAAGTACCGGTGTCCAACCATCAATCAACAGGAATCAATCAGTTTCGTCAAAATGACAAAGTCTCTTCCCAGCTAAATCGATTTACTCTCATCTCACCTCCACAGCAAACACAAAACCACTTTTATACCCATATATCTAAATTATTGATTTAGTCTATCAAAGCATAGCTTCTGTGTAAAATCGATCGGATTTTGATAGGTTCAGAAGAACCTCGAGCTCAGATGTGTTAGACACACACACACACACACACACACATGGATTTCAATATCCTGTTGTTGACGCATTTCAAGCCCTTAAAGTGTAAGCTATGAGTATAATACAAACATGCTAGATTACTCAATACCTTTGGGAGCTGTGGGGAGTTTTAGGTGAAGGATGCTGATATGTCATCTGATCAATTTCAGGGGCGGTCGGGTAGCCTAGTGGTTAAAGCGTTCGCTCGTCACGCCGAAGACCCGGGTTGATTCCCGACATGGGTACAATGTGCGAAGCCCATTTCTAGTGTCCCCCGCCGTGATATTGCTGGAATATTGCTAAAAGCGGCGTAAAACCAAACTCACTCACTCACTGTTCAATTTCAGAACAACCTTTTGCAACAGGCTCAATAAAATCACAATATTGTTTTGATTAAATTTGTATGATTGGGATGATCAATATGAAAGACATATCCAAACTAAGTACGCTTTTATTAAAATATAGTTTAGTTATCAAACTATTTACTATATTGAAGGTTGGTGTGACCAAACGGCATTATATTAATGATCAAAATTCATAAAATTGTATCTTTAGCCTGCCTAACCTTCAAAAAGCGTTTGTAGTTGTTGCCACTGACAAGACCTAAATAATATAACCATTTTTAAACCATCCCTACATCAATTGTTTGATCTAAGTGCAATTTGGTGCATGAAGGTGACAACAAATATCTTTTAACGTGTTTTGGTTGGGAATCGAACCCCCGACCTCCCGCTCGCCGGGTAGACGCTCTTCCACTTGACCCTGAAGGGAGTCCACAACATGTAGACAAAAAGTAGATTTCTTCATGGGCATCAATTACGTTCCCCAACCAAGCTGATGTGTTTCGTTATGCATATGAATCGAAATATTTGCTCGGATTGGCAAAATCTAAACAAGGAAATTTGACCATGAAGTTTAACCTTCAATAACGGTAAAATAGTCAAGTCTCTTTCAGTGACCTCTCAAAAACACAAGCAAGGCGAGGATGGTAATAAAAGGATCGAGCCACTCCATCATGTCGCTTAATGTGCTGTGTTTGTGCCGTTGGACAGTCTCAATAAATTCATTCCATAATCTGCATTTAATATTTATAGCTTGATGCACATTGGCGGTTTTCAAGCCAGCTGACTTCACCCAACCTAAGGACTCTGCATGGTTGCTGCGCCTTTCAACACACTGCACACAAAATCGATGCAATGGACGTTCATATAACCTCTCCTCTCTGATAAGATATGGCACTTCGCTTGGTTGACACTCATTTCTGTACCGCCCAGGAGCACAGAACCATCAACAAAATCAACATTGATATTGAGATTATGTCCCACATCCTTGGCTCGTTTAGGAAAACTGTGGAATGCCTTGTTGTCATGATGAGTCTTGACATGCTTAACAAGAGGATCATCAGACAAATAAATGTGTGCAAAAGTGAACAAAACAATTCTATCATGAATACCGAAAGAATTCGAAAGGACCCCAACAGCATAGATATTTGTGGCTTTTACTTTATAGCAAGCGTTCAGCTCTGAACTCCTGATTTTCTTAAGTTAACATATCTACTCTGCCCGAAGTTTTCCTTTGATGATGGCAACCTTGGGTTTGTCGCTAACCTAAACCCTTATGTACGTATAGGCCTGACCTTCCACGAGATGGTTGATAACTCCTCCCCAAAGCAAACTGACTGATCCCTGCCTCTTCTTCCTGGCAAGGTTTCAGATGAAGAACGTTGCATTTGTTGAGTCCAAAGGATATGCCAATACCATTAGTAAAGGACTCCACAGGGAGAACCTGCATTTTTAGAGTGGATTCTCCTTTGGAAAAATTTTCAAGGTCACCCATGTAAAGTAGATGAGTAAGAGGGGTTTGTGATCTGTGCTGAGGAGGTCCCGGATGATAACCTTCCTCTTTGCAAAGCAAAACGCTTTAGGGAATTATCGACAAACAGAAAAGCAAAGTACTAAAAGAACCGCCCTTAAATATTCCCCTTCTTGTAGAATTGGGTTCCCAAGTCACCACCTGCCCCTGCTCAAGTTGAGTGACCGCCTCCGTGGTCTAGTGGTAGAGGGTCCGCCCGGAGAGCAGAAGGTCCGGGGTTCGATTCCCGACCGCGTCATATCAAAAGACGTTAAAAGATGGTACCTCTTGTTACCCTGTCTGGCGCTCGGCATTAAGGGGCTAAAACAAGGACTGGTCGGCTCGGAGTCAGTATACTGTGTCTGAGTGGGGTATTCATGTTAAACTGCGGCATGGTATCTCAGTGTGCTAGCACTATAAATCGGCATCAGTCCGGACTAGTACAAGCATCCACACAAACACACACACGTACATGCACGTCGCTATATAAGTGCAATAATCATGGACGCGACGTTAAACCCCATTTCACCTCACCTGACCTCAAGTTGAGTTGACCAACCATTCATTCAAGACTTAAGTAAAACAAGAAACTGCTCGGAGAGGTCAATACATTCCAGTGACTTCAAAATCCATTCGTGAGGTACAGAATCATAAGCTTTTCTGCTGCCCAGACAACACATTGAGACGTTTTGGTGGTAATTTTTAGCCCTTGAATGATCATTTTCTGAACCAACGCCAGATATTTGCTTTCATTGTTAACACATTGAGCTTCGAGTGGATGGTATTGACGCGTGGTTGTGGTTGTGGTTGTGGTTGTGGTTGATCTCTTCCACCGTTAACATACTTGCCTCATACATGGCATTATTTGATACGTCACTTAAACGAAGTTCTCTGATCAAACAATTAATGCAGTGCTGCTTACATATAACGATTATAATATTTGAGGCTTGTCAGTGGTAACAACTGCAAACATTTCATGTAGGACAGCCAGACAGCTGGCTAAGACAGAATGGATTTATTCAAATTCTGTCTACTTTTATTTATAATTGTGCTTTCTACCAATGTTATTTGAAGGAAGCTCAAGGACAGACGGCCAAAACTCATAAACATAATCATAACGACCCGTGAAAATTCCGGGGTAGAATAGGTCTTCAGCAACCCATGCTTGCCGTAAAAGGCGACTATGCTTGTCGTAAAACTCGACTTACGGGATCGGGTGGTCAGTCTCGCTAACTTGGTTGATGCATGTCATCGGTCCCAATTGCGTGGATCGATGCACATGATGTCAATCACTGGATTGTCTGGTCCAGACTCGATTATTTACAGACCGCCGTCATATAGCTGGAATACTGCTGAGTGCGGCGTTAAACATCAAACAAACAAACAAACTGAAATGACCAACCAGCCAACTATTTGAAGGAAGCTCAAGGACAGACGGCCAAAACTCATAAACATAACAATATATGCCATGACACATGAAGGGTCTTAATCGGAACTATTTTGGATTCAAACCCTTCACCAGTGGACCCTGACACGCTCCAGGACATGGGAATGTGGTTAACACACTGATAGAAGGCACTTACTTCCATCACGATCAGCGGGAATTAAACACAATTAGTGGTCATATTGTACATTGTTACACCACGTAGCATAATTTCCACCGATTATTGTATATTAGTGCATGTCATGATAAGCCCTAACAACCGGCAGTGATATACCAGATAATGACCCAATGGTACATGAGATTTATTGTATCAAATTCCTAATGTATGTGTGTGACCAAAACTGGTACAAAAGTGGGTATTTACAAGAAAATTAACATTTTTACAAAATTACCATTAATCAACTTCGCACTCACTCTTTCAGTTGTGAGTGAGTGTATCGGGGAACGTGTGCACGTACGCATATATAATGTATCTACATTTGGGAAATCTTCCTTATTTCTTCAGTAGGTGGGTACTGTATACTGCTTTTGTCTTGCATAATGTCAGTGCTCCAAGATGTTTACAAGATTGACTGAGTTTCTTACTGTGTTTTTTAAAGCTCCGTTTAAATATATTTCCATATGAAAGGTAAAAAATACAAGTGTAAACAATATAAGCAATGGAGGCACAAACAGGGAACAAAATAAACAAATAACGTGGTAATATTGACAAATTTGACAAATATTTCTTTGACGTGGAAATATGCAACCAGCAACCCATACAAATGGCTCAACGGCCGACATGTGCGCAACGTGATTTAATACGCTACATACGTCAATCCATAGCAAAAGACTTGTGGGTAAACCTCCTCCCTAAAATGGGGACAGGAGTGGGGTTTGTGATTTGTCAAGTAAAATTAATTCCCATTACCAAAACATAATGTACTGTACCTCGTCAAATGAGTGGTAGTCCTGAAATGATATGCCATTTATAATATCCACTGTCGGCCAGCACCAGTAACAGAAGCAATTAACACTCATCAAGACTAATTACAGTCTGCAGGTTACTGTGTCTCCTAATGACATGTATTAACGCGTGAACTGTGGGAAAAAATGAACCAGTCTACTTCACAGCTGAGCAAAGACAGCACCAATGTGCAGCACCCTTTGGCATGGTCTTTCTCACCAAGAATGTGTCATTCTGGTTTACTCTCGTCGGTACATGTGAAACTGATCATTGGGAGAGACAGAGCAACACACTGGGAGTTAGAGAAGTAAAGAATGCTCCCTCTTCCTGTCAGTCATGTCCTCATTCTTCCTTTGTGATGGTGTCACTCAGGGCCATGACCTATCTCTGCTCATCTCGCTCGCTCATCTTTTTCTTCCTTACTCATACTCTCTCACATACTCTCTCTCTCTTCCACTCACTCTGTCGCTTTCACTCTGTGATGCTCTCTCTCTCTCCCTCTCCCCTCTCTCTCACTCGCGCTCACTCCCTCTCCCCCTCTCTCACTCACTCTCTCCCCTTCTCTCACTCACTCTCCCCCTCTCTCTCACTCACTCTCTCCCCTTTTCTCTCACTCACTCTCTCGTTCTCCTCTCTCTCGCGCGCTCTCTCTCACGCCTCTCTCGCTCACTATCTCTCTCGCTCACTCACTTCCACTCTCGTTCTCCCTCTCCCCTCTCACTCACTCTCGCGCGCTCTCTCCCTCACTCTCTCGTTCTCCCTCTCTCCCCCTCTCTCTCTCACGCTCACACTCTCGTTCTCTCTCGTTTTCCCCCTCACTCTCTCGTTCTCCCTCTCACTCGCGTGCGCTCTCTCTCCTCTCTCTCTCGTTTTCCCCCTCTCTCTCGCGCTCACACTCTCGTTCTCTCTCTCTCGCGCGCGCTCTCTCTCTCCCTCTCCCCCTCACTCTCTCGTTCTCCCTCTCACTCGCGTGCGCTCTCTCTCCTCTCTCGTTTTCGCTCTTTCTCGCGCCCTCTGTCCCCCCCTCACACACACACACACACACACACACACACACACACACACACACACACACACACACACACTGACTGTTACTAACGACGTTGGGACTTTTTTACACAGAAGTCTTCAACAGCTCATGGCTTAGTCTTGATGAGCAAATAAAAAAATGTGATAAGATTCTATATGTTTAGTGCGTAATATTACGACAACAATGATGTAATCAAAATACAACCAAGCTTACCAAGGTGAAGCGTAACATGCGTTTCATATGCAAGTGCAGTGAGTACACGATATATATACATGGGTGACGTTACAAGAAGCTGTGTGGATAGCATGCATAAAGCGAGATCAAAAGTGACACATGAGTAATATTCTCTATTTAGTCTTAATCGTATTCAAACATGTTTACCAAAACTGACGAAATACTGAGAAGTGATTGCTCATCATTGCCAGTGTCTTATTTATGCTGTATTTAAACACATGTTTCACAGACTTTAAAGAGCAAAGGTAATTAAAAAGGGAAGACAAATCTATACAGAATGGCTTGTCAAAAAAGTTCGGAAAAAAACAGGTTTAGAATGGGTCATTGACTGGGGCCGGACATATAAAGGCTGATCAAACTTTCTAATATGCACCTGTAAATTAAATAGTTCTCATGATCTATCAGTTGAATACAGAGCAAGACAATTATTTCGTACATCAAATTCTTTACGTTAAAATAAGTTCCTCCACATGGAACAAGTCTCATTAAAATCAGATCTGTGTGATTGCTACCGCTTCGCAAAGGATATTTTTGTAGCGGTAGCGAGGCTGGAGTTTATTATAGGGCCTGGGGTTTTCTATGCATGCTGAAGTTAATAAAGAGGTACATTTACCAATGAGGCTGGAGTTTATTATAGGGCCTGGGGTTTTCTATGCATACTGAAGTTAATAAAGAGGTACATTTACCAATGAGGCTTGAATTTATTATGGAACTTGGCTTTTCCATACAGGCTGGAGTTGGTGAGGGTAGATTTTACCAATGAGGTTAGAGTTTATAATAGGGGCTGGGGTTTTCTATGCATACTGAAGTTAATAAAGAGGTACATTTACCAATGAGGCTTGAATTTATTATGGAACTTGGCTTTTCCATACAGGCTGGAGTTGGTGAGGGTAGATTTTACCAATGAGCTTAGAGTTTATAATAGGGGCTGGGGTTTTCTATGCATACTGAAGTTAATAAAGAGGTACATTTACCAATGAGGCTTGAATTTATTATGGAACTTGGCTTTTCCATACAGGCTGGAGTTGGTGAGGGTAGATTTTACCAATGAGGTTAGAGTTTATAATAGGGGCTGGGGTTGTCTATGCATACTGAAGTTAATAAAGAGGTACATTTACCAATGAGGCTGGAGTTTATTATAGGGCCTGGGGTTGTCTATGCATGCTGAAGTTAATAAAGAGGTACATTTACCAATGAGGCTGGAGTTTATAATAGGGCCTGGGGTTTTCTATGCATGCTGAAGTTAATAAAGAGGTACATTTACCAATGAGGCTTGAATTTATTATAGGGGCTGATAATTTCTACACAAGCTGAAGTTTAAAGAGGGTAGATTTATCAATGAGGCTTTAGTTTATTATTTGGCTTGGCTTTTCCATACAGACTGGAGTTTATAAGAGAGTAGATTTTACCAATGATGCTGGAGTTTATTATGGGGGGGGGGGGGGGGGGGGGGGGGTTCCATAATAGCCGATATTCTATATCCGCAATGAACAAAACACAAACAGAGTAAGTGTAAAGGGACTTAAAACAGCCAGAAACAGGAAGTACAGTAAATACAGCAAAATAGACAACTGTCAATCATGAACTCCATTTCTACTACAGCAATCCACGTCATAAATGTCCTTCATTCAGCAGTGTACCGTGATACACAACTCTGACAGGAAGGAAGTGATACGTCACGACCACTTCCGGCCGGGGCCCACCCACAGGAACACTGTTCTTACCTGTACAGCAGCATATTTAAATATCTTAGGTTCCGGTTCCGGTTTCTTTTCGCAGGAACACGAGGAGAAGCAGTACCGGAAGCAGTTTACAATGCTTTTGGGGCTTGGAATGACGTTAAATGGCGGCGGGACGGGACTTCCGGGTTCAATAAAAGTCAACCACAGCTCGGTCCGGGCAAACTTCCACTCCACATCGCTCACACCCTGGAATAGTCCAGGCATGTGTGAACATTATGGCACTGATTGTGTAATCTACATGTTGACTTGCGCATTGTGTTTATACGCAATAGAAACCATTTACAATATAGGTAATTCCCTCTCTGGCGCTTGTTCTCCTATACTCTAATGAGGTTTGATTGTGGGCTGTTCGGTGCATGTATGGTCATGTACCGATCGATATAATAGTGTGTCATTAGATTAATATGCAAGCACTTCGAGAATCAAACAATAAAAACATTTCATGATTGATGAAAAGTGTCATAATTGATAGCGACTCATTAACCAATGATTATGATATGGTCGGAATTGTAAAATGGACTCTGCTTTTAGTAGAGATCTCTTATCATCAAGGAAATGAATTTGTCGCTTTTAATGTGAAACAAATGGATATATTTATATTATTTATGTTATCTCTCTTCTTCTTCTACTACTACTACTACTACTACAACTACTACTACTACTACTACTACTACTACTACTACTGGGGCGGTCGGGTAGCCTAGTGGTTAAAGCGTTTGCTCGTTACGCCGAAGATCCGGGTTCGATTCCCGACATGGGTACAATATGTGAAGCCCATTTCTGGTGTCCCCCGCCGTGATATTGCTGGAATATTGCTAAAAGCGGCGTAAAACCATACTCACTCACTCACTTCTACTACTACTATTTCTACTGATCACCCAAACCCTCTATGCTGCACTTATTTATTTTAATTTGCATATAATAATAATAATAATAATAATAATAATAATAATAATAATAATAATAATAATAATAATAATAATAATAATTTGTAAATAATAATAATAATAATAATAATAATAATAATAATAATAATAATAATAATAATATTAATAATTACCTGGACTTCTTCAAACGTGTTGGACATGACAGCAATCAAGAGGTTGAGCAGTACGATCATGGCGGCAAATACATAGATGGCGTACAGGTAGTAGCCTATAGTCGTCACCCCAGCGTCCCTGTGGGGGTTATTGGTGAGAGAGGCGAGAGGCCCTTGTCCGTCAGTAGCTGGAGCCGAGGAATCTCCCATACCGAACATACTCCATGTCAGCGTTGAAATCGTTGCCTCAAACCTAGATAAAACACGCATCTTAAACAGCGTTCGGGGTCAAATTATTGCTGGAATAACGTAAACCTACTTATTCACGGGCAGCTAATTTCACTTAACACCCTTGTAACTGGTGTGTGTGACTTAACTTGGTTCTGTTTATTCGGTTGTTTGTTTATTTGTTGTTTAATGACGCACCCGGGAATATTCGAGCTATATAACGGCGGGTTGTAAATAATCGAGGCAGGGCCAGACAGACCAGTGGCTGATATCACGAGAAACGACCAACGCCGTAAAGATGAGTGAGTGAGTGAGTGAGTATGGTTTTACGCCGCTTTTAGCAATATTCCAGCAATATCACGGCGGGTGACACCAGAAATGGGCTTCACACACTATACCCATGTCGGGAATCGAACCCGGGTCTTCGGCGTGACGAGCGAACGCTTTAACCACTAGGCTACCCAACCGCCCCCCGAAAAGGTACGATGACACACTATCAACTAGATCACCTAACCTGACCACCCATCCTATAAGTCGCCACCTAAGACAAGCATAGGTTACTGGGTGCCTATTCTTTCCTTGCATCCCTGCGGGGATCGACTTAGAGTCGTTCAATGGACTTTTAGAAGACACGTCTTGTGAATATGGAAAGGGTTTTGTCGCTTTTATTTAGATGAAATATCAAAATCACTACTTCAGCGCTGTCCAAATATTGTGTAGGTGGTGAAATAAAGCCACATGAATAGTGTGCTACGGAAGCCTTTTAGGGCCATTTGTTTTTTTACTTTTTTTCGATACTATCTTGAAATTTCAAGATACTAAGTTGAAATTACAAGATACTAAGTTGAAATTTCAAGATACTATCGAAAAAAATAAAAAAACCAAATAGCCCTATAAGGCTTCCGTAGTGTGCGGCCGAGTGAAATTGAAGGAACCAATGACAACAATTTTAAGACTCGAAACTGGAAACAAACCAAATCCGATAACGAGTATATACTCATTACTCCCTGAAGCATGACACTCACACAGGTCGTAGACACGAGTTAGTGAGTTTGGTTTTACGCCGCTTTTAGCAATATTCCAGCAATATCACGGCGGGGGACACCAGAAATGGGCTTCACACACTGTACCCATGTCGGGAATAGTACCTGGGTCCTAGGCTTAACGCTTTAACCACTACACTACCCGACCGCCCCCTCGTGGACGCGAAAACAACGGAACAGGCATACTGTGTCTTTAAAACGCTCGAAGGATGCATATCAGGTCCTTTACAAGGCATATAGTACGTTGCAATTACAAGTAAAATAGTTGGTATTGTTAAATAGAAACGTCTCTAACATATGGCAAGACTTCAGAAGTACTTGTGTGTTGTTTCAGGCAACAAACATACTTTTTTTTATGCAAATTGTGTGAGTGGCAGTGCTTCCGGTAAAGCGGTACTTCCTTTTCCTTTACGCGAACACCTGGTGTCATCACTGATTTTCTGTGATCTATTCATATATTTTTCACCGGTATTTTACTTTTTACGCCAAATGGAATCTGTCTCGTTGGTTAATTGAGCCTGCTTATTCCTAACAAATGAAATATTGTCAAACGTGGGTGTATATTATCTCCATATTTGAAAGATTTTAAGTGCTCTCTGCTTGATATAATAATAATAATAATAATAATAATAATAATAATAATAATAATAATAATAATTCTTGCATTAGCATTGATAGTTATTGTTTAAAAGGTTGGTTTTGAGATGGACTTTAAGAGCAGGGATTGAAGGAGACAATTTCACACTATCTGGAAGAGAGTTTGTTAGAATTGCTGCGGAATAGGAGAAAGTTCTTCCGCCAAACGTTCTGATTTTCGGAATAGAAAATAGTTCCTGTTGTTGAGTTTGGATTGTTCTCTGTGGGGAGTTGAGTGCGTAAGTCCAAATTCAACAAATATGGCCGTGGTTTTCTACAGTTACCACTTGAAATTATTAATAATTCTGATATGGCGAGTTAATTAAGTGACACTTACGACCCAAAGCTTCTATTTCTGCACTTGCTAGGGGCGTAGAGAGCTGACAACCCCGAGGCAAATGCTATGAGAACCAAGATGAACATTCCACACAATTTGAGCAGGTCGTTAATTGTGCGATGGAAGGACACCAGCATGGTACCAAGGGCCTCATTGGCCGGCATGATGAAGGAGAACCGACCAATGCTGAGGATGGTACCGAATGTGAACAGTATGTCCGACAGTAACTCCGGGTCTGGTATCCACTCCGGTTCCCATATCACTGAAACAAACAGGAAGACGTTATATTTGTTGTTTTTCAAGGGCACCGACTCCCGCTTGATTGTCTAGTAACACAAAATTGTGTGAATAAAGACGCTGTTTTAAATGATTTTGTTAGCTGTGTTTGTTGTTTAACCCGCACTCAGCACTAAAACGGCGGTCTGTAAAGAATCAATTCTGATCCAAGTCCAGTGATTGTCAGCATCGAATTACCCAATTGGAAGACGATGACATGCATCAACCAAGTCGCCGGCCTAACCATCCGATCCCGTTAGTCGCCTCTTACAAGCATTGGTTGCTGAGTGATAACATTATGAATGAGTTTGGTTGAAGGTGACACTGTGTCAGTTTAAGCCTGAACTGATGCAGGTCTGTGACATTTACGCTTAAGTGAATCCTACGATCACGGATATTGTGCTGACAATCCAAGAAACATAATCAGGGCGAATAAGCGATTTAAATCCACGATCATAGGCTTTTTACAAGCATATATTGCACAGTGAATTGACGTGTCATAGACGACTGGGTCACCCGTCACTGAAATTTGTTTCAAACTCCTGATACCCTGAAGATCCGGGGTAGAATAGGTCTTCAGCAACCAATGCTTGCCGTAAAGGGCGACAATGCTTGTCGTAAGAGGCGACTAACGGGATCGGGTGGTCAGGCTCGCTGACTTGGTTGATACATGTCATCGTAACCATAATGATGTCAATCACTCGATTGTTTACAGACCGTCGTCATATAGCTGGAATATTGCTGAGTGCGGCGTTAAACAACAACAACAACAACAACAACAACAAATCAATCTCCTGATATATGATATTTATCAGCACTCCAAGGGGATCAGAATTAGGATCTTTGCAGTCGAGTAGTCGCCATATCCGATTTCGTTCTATCAGGGATAGACCATGCTCCAACGTACCCTTCACCAACATAAGCCTGTCATGACTAAACAAGTGGCCGAGTCGTCTTAGGCGCCGCGATTCGCTGGGAAGGGTCGCGTCCCTTAGGCACGCCAGAAACCTAGGACTGTGGGTTCGAATCCCGGTTCGGCCCGATTAACTTTCTAGGTTTGTCAGCACCATACCCGTGCTCGTGGGTTTCACCGAAGTGGTAAACGTCTGAGACCTGTATCACTTCGGGCTTTCCTCCCACATTAAACCGACACGCCGTGATGTAACTGGAATACTGTTAAAAGCGGCGTTAAACCCAACTCACTCACTCACTCACAACAAATATTACAAACATAAACATAAACTTGGACACCACCTGATACATTGTCCTTTCTGCCAATGGTACAGAATTCAACCAATGACATGTCCCCGTCGGCGATGAGAGTGCAGAGAGGCGTGGCTGACGAACCGTTTTCGCGGTCGCCGTTTATCACCTGGCGCAATCTGATTGGTGTGACGATCTCCAGCACAAAGGATGCAAGCAGCATGCTCAACATCAGCGAGTCGACAACATTCCAGAGAGACCGGAAGTAGTCCTTTGCGCCTGCGGACCAGATCTGTTTGCATTCCTCCCATATTAAACCTGTTTGAGAAAACAATTCCGTTAAAAATGTTTTATTTCTATTTGTGACATTTTTAAATGTAATACATTTATTACGTACGTAAGCATATTTAAAAAAAAAAGTTAAGTCACGACTTTAAACAAAAGATGTTTTTTATTATCAATAACTTTGCTTTTTGAAGCATTATACCATTGTTCTAAAATCGGTCGTCCAAAACTAGCTTCTAATTCGATTTGTCACATGAAACCTTTTCTTATCGCAACATGTGAATCAAAACAAGGCTGATCAATGAAAAAACAACTGAAGTTATATATAGAATCCGCCATTTTCTCAAACAAATTCATATCTTGGACTTTTATCAAATATTAGATTTGACTCCATCAGGTCATCTTTCAAGAAAATATTTTCTGTGCAGAACAAGTGTTTATCACATAAGATCTAAATCTTTCGAGCAATTAGAAAATACGAGATAGAAGAAAATATAATTAATTTATCCAGAACAGTTGCTATACATAGTGGTGGGTAAAATAAAATCGCCATGGGTGGTCACGCATGGTGCTGAAAACATTCATTTATCCGGTAATGTAAAATGGCATGTTTATCGCGGTTATTATGTGGTTTTACGCCGCATTTTGAGATATTCGCAATATCACGGGGATATCAGAAAGTGGCTTCACACACTGATCCCGTGCGGGAAGCAAACCCGGCCCTAGGCGTGACGAGCGAACCATTTAAACCACTCGGCTACCCCTAGACAATGCATTGCTTGAGTGTAGTCACTAAGTTCCAATATAAACAATACACAAATGGTTGTTTAGCTGCAGAAAATAGATTCATCTTGATCATTAAAGAGAATAAATGAAATGATTAATGTAACCAGCTTTATATTTCGTGTCATTTAAAGCTGTCGGGAGACCTGCTTTGCGATGGAGAGTCATACAATCATATCACTATAACTGATGACAGTTAACTTTTTATAACCCTAGGGTCCTATTTCTCGCAGCACAGTCAGTTCCCCGACTCAACTAACGGGAGCGGTTAATATTTGATACGTTTACGCGGAACGCAAACAACGGCACACGTTTTAAGGGGAATAGTGTTTGTGTAGTGCTTTTTTTACAAAGACAAGAGCACCAGAGGGGAATATGGCCACACTCAGCTTCATTGGGTTGGTTGTCGATACGCTCCAACTCGTTCGGTCAACAGTGATTATTTCACATCAGTTCAAAAATATTGGGTTTTACAGTGAACGACTCGGACGGATTAAATCCAATTACAATGTATCATAATTGTTTCAAAATATTTGTTTTACAATTTCATTAATTAAGACTGTTACAATTGCAAGGTAATATAATATGTCATGTTTCCTAAATATTGAATCAAGTTGATTCAGTGCTATCTGGAATGTCATCACTATAATGGCATTGGTATCACATAAATATACCCGTGGAGATCCGAGGTAGAATAGGTCTTCAGCAACCCATGCTTGCCGTAAAAGGCGACTATGCTTGTCGTAAGATTCAACTAACGGGATCGGGTGGTCAGGCTCGCATGTCATCGATTCTCATTGCGCGGATCGATATTCATGATGTCAATCACTTGATTGCTTGGTCCAGACTCAATTATTTACACACCGCCGTCATATAGCTTGAATATTGCTGTTCGGCGTTAAACAAAAAAACAAACAAAACAAACACACCAGTAACGTAAATGTTACGTAAATGATGTAGTAGTTAAAAGTGATTACCATGGTTACATGTATAAGGTGCTTAATCTAATGCTGAACAATTAACGAGGATCGAGAGGGTAATTTGTAACTTACAATTATTCGAAGCTTATTATGACTGCATTCATACGAGTGAGTATCGATTATACCGGTGTAACCCAATTATTGTGTACCCGTAATCATTTTTAAATAAACTATCGGGCAAAAGAAACTATTTACCTGAAAACTGGATTTGGTTTTTTTTTACAAATGTTATCAAAACGTTACAAGGCTGAATACAGTGGCCGAAATACTGCAAAGATAAAGTCCAAAAACACAACTATGATACCCGTATCAAATACATCACCATCAAATAACCATTTTTTGTATGATTCATTTAGCCATGGCGTACATGGTTGTATACTTTCTCTGCTCGGCAGTGTAAATCCCCACGACAGTTGTTTGGTACCTTTGACTCAATATTATTGAAAGACAATAATTGTTCAAATACAATATGCTAAGTCTTTGTAGAACACGGTCGTGTCGCCCTGAATGGAGCTAATGTCGCGTATGAAACATACGGCATTAACACAAACTCCCAACTGGGCGTTTCAATCAGTCAATGACAGTGCCTTTCTTACAATTAGATGTCATTCCACACACACGCGCCTATATATGCGGAAAGAGAGAGAGAGAGAGGGGTTATCACGCGAGTGTGTTTGGGGGTGGTAAATATCCCATATTAGTAATAAACTTTGTATTATGCGAGCCTTGGCGAGCTACATACATAATGTATATTCCTAATACATGATATTTACCATCCCCAAACACAATCGCGTGATAACCTCTTTATCATATAATTCACTCTTCATTTCTGTGCTTGGAAATCGCTTTCCTTCTTTCACAACCGAAACATTGCAAGTTTTCCTGGAATGTGTGGATTAATATATATTACGTCAGAAGGTAAGTGATGTGTCAGTAGGACCATGTCAGTAGCCAATGTTGTTCCAACCGAAACATGTATCTTATACAGTGGCGAAACAACATGTACGCAAATTGTACAACAATTGCCAAAACGAATTCATTTGCTTTTACTTGCCTTTCGCGGCAATCCATCGGTCTGTCCGCTAGAGTAACTCCCCTTTGTCAAAGGGAAGGTACTCTCACCCTAGTCTATGAGACGTCACGCCCAAGGTTGCACTTTCTTGACAGTCTGTCCTGGCATAACGTTACGAAGTGCAGTCAGATGTACACACAGCGACAACACGAAACAAGGTAACAATTCAAACATATGTCGTCCAAATCCAACTTTTTTAATTTGTGGAAAAGGTCCCAAGCCGCAGAGGTCTACAAGCACAGACATGGCTACTGATCCCGCTTGGCTGGGGCAAGTGCACACTCCGTCGCAGTGGTGACTCAGCATAACACCACTGCCACAGGCTAATTTGCATATCACGTGACCGGACTTTTCTCTTGTTTGTAAACAAACAAGCTTTTTCAGAAATCAGTATAGAACGGACTAATGCAAGTATTTAGGGGCGCTTTACATATTGTTTTGCATAACTATATAGATATGCTACTACAACTGCGACAGTGAGTTGCATGACAATATATATTTATGCATCAAAGTGACCGTGTCTCTAGCTCTCCGTTGGGCTTCGATGACAGCACGTGGAGCCGTACAACCAATGTAAACATAGGATAACTACGTAAAAACAAGTAGATTTTTACGTATTTGCATACTTTCTCAATGAAACTTAACCATTCTTTGACATTTGTTTATGAAAATGTGTAGACTTGTCAAACATGAAACGGATGAAAAGCATATGCAATATCTTGAATGGACTGTGAAAGATGTGACGAATCGTCACATGGCGCTGGCCTGTGGCAGAGGTACTATGCTAGCTGGCTGCCGGCCGCATGGAACTCTGGGTAGGAGAGTGGGCCAAGGTTAGACTTTGTTGACAGTCTGTCCTGGCATAACGTTACGAAGTGCAGTCAGATGTACACACAGCGACAAAACGAAACAAGGTAACAATTCAAACATATGTCGTCCAAATCCAACTTTTTTAATTTGTGGAAAAGGTCCCAAGCCGCAGAGGTCTACAAGCACAGACATGGCTACTGATCCCGCTTGGCTGGGCCTAGTGCCCTCGGCCTCGCAAAATTGTTTCGCAAATTATGTCTCCAAAGTTACCAAACTCGTAAAATGCCTCAGCTACGTCACAGTTAGACACTGATTTTCAGTATATAGCAATTATCCCAGTAGTTTCTCCAGATTCCCGATGGTTCATTCTGACTCGATCGCCGAATGACATGGGTGACAACATGTTTGTTTGTAGACCGTGAAAGTAGTCCCTCCTTGACCTTTGATATTTGCATCTCTATCCGCATATGACCACAACGTATATCGTTTGTATCCGTTGGCTTTATCCTGCAGAGCCACCTACCCATTATATGATAAATATATTGGTGTTACATATAATCAATATGGGAATAATTGTTGCTTCCATTGAGTGATCGGCCATATGTAGTACAGGTGTTGCGATATCAATCTTATATCAATTGTTACTACACGCCTACCTTGACTGGCAACCTGTGTGGCGATCGATCAGAGAGTGGTACTAACATAAAAAGATTTCATGGAGAGGTGCGATTAAATGGTTACAACTTTCTGCTGAGATGGTTAGGACAGTAAAGATTATATGTTATATGTACATTATTGATTTGCATTTATCAATTGTCGTGTAAGCACAAGCGCCGAGACATATCCACTTTCCTAAATTCACTGATAGCCTGGTTGGAAGAATGTTTGTGCCAGTATATCCGAAATTTTGGTTTGGATTTGCAAATTATGATACGGCTTTTCTAACATCACTGACGAGTTAAAATATCAGTAGTGTGGAACATCTCATATCCTGTTATCTTACAGGTTCTGTGTCCTTAATAATTCACAATAACACTTTATCCCTAGTTTCTAAGCGTGACGGGGCGGGGGGTAGCCTAGTGGTTAAAACATTCGCTTTATTCTTTCATATCATACAGTTAATCTGTCATGGCATGGGTGTTCTTTAATATCTTTTGAGGAGTATATGTTAACCACGGCGTAACGTAAATATTCATGTAAGCCATGAGATAAGTATCCTACTTACCAAATATCCACATAAGGAGTATGGTAATAATGGCAAAGACATAGGGATGCTGTTCGTCACAGGCAAAACTGTCGAATGCCTCGGTCAGCTTCAACTTGGTTACCATGACAAACACCAAGAAGGACAGGTATGAACAGGTGTAGCTGAGAAACCTCATCAAGGGCGTGTCCAAGATGACGGTCACCTGAAATATGTTATATCTTAATAAATACAAGCGACAAAAACATTTCCAGAATCATAAAAAATCTCTGAAAAATTGCACGAATCCTAACTTTCCATTAACATTTGTTTTTGAATCATTATCAAATAGTGTTGATTCCATGTATTCGTGAAAAGGTGAGCGTATCCTGCCTCATCCGTGGCACCCGTCACAAACACATGCAAAAGCAAGTCAATTAGTCTCCTGAAAACACTCGGGAACATATTGAAACATTTATATTTTATACTTTTTAAAAATCTTCCCCTTCTTGTTTAAAAAAGACGAGATGAATCGTCTCTATTTTAAAAACAATGCTTGATAAAAAAAAAGTTAGGGACCATAAATATGTTTTGGGATATAATTATGAAATCGTATGCTCAGTCTTCACTACAAAAATATTCCAAAAAATATTCATGATCCCAACCGTTTTTTTGCTCAGAAAATGAACCATAATACACCACGAAATGACAAGACCCACCTTGCTCCATGGTGCGATGAGGTAGATGATGGACAGGATGGGGACTAGCACGATGCCCACTGGAATGGCCAGCATCAGGTAGGTAAACCGGTTGAGGTATCGTAGAAATGGTACCCCACTGTACCACAGCTCTGCTATCTGAGCCTGACACTGAGGGTGGGCGACAAACTGAAAGAGTGAGTGAGTCAGTGAGTGAGTTGGGGTTGTCGCCGTTTTGAACAGAATTTCATTTAAAGCGCGGCAGGTCAGTTTGATGTTGGAACAAAAACCCGGAGTGATACAGGTCTTATACCCCGTTCACATGCGCCTCTATACATATGTGTGTTGAAATACATACGTGAGTATACTTGTCGTGTGAACGCGTTTACACATGTGTGTATATTTACACCAGGAGCAAATTTGCATCATGTCTGGAGCAGGTGGAAATGTAAATGTAAATTTGCACTGTGTGTAATTGATGCAATGTGAACGTATTTGTCAACGTAAGAGGATGATCTAATTTATATCTGTTCTTTTGCCAGCACCAAACAAATTGTCAACAGTTGCCAACTTTTATGCGTATATACAGAGTTGACCGGATGGTGTTTTCTTTTGGTTTCAAGAGGTCAAAACTTTGTGTACAAAGGTAGAGAGAGAGGGAGAAAGAGAAAAAGGACGAGGCAGATACGGAGAGAGGGGAGGGAGGGAGAGAGAGAGAGAGAGAGAGAGAGAGAGAGAGATGAAGAGAGACAGACAGAGACAAAGGACGAGGCAGACATGGAGAGAGAGAGAGAGAGGGGGAGGAAGACAAAGGTAGAGAGAGAGGGAGAAAGAGAAAGGACGAGGCAGATACGGAGAGAGGGGAGGGAGGGAGAGAAAGAGAGAGAGAGAGAGGAAGAGAGACAGACAGACAAAGGACGAGGCAGACATGGGGAGAGAGAGAGGGGGGGGGGGGGGGGGGGGGAGGAAGAGCGAGAGAGATCGATAGAACACAGAGTCTGTGAATGTGAGATTTCTTTTTATTTTATCATTTGTGTGCAACGTATCTTCATAAAATCCATGATACATTATGCAGTTATTCATGTTTTTGTAAACATGCACCCAGCCATCAATACCGTGAAACGTGTTACCAGGCCCAATCGATACAACGTGTTAGTTGTCAACAAAGTGTACTGTAAGAGAACAATTGTCGGATCACCCAACATTATCAATAATTCTAACTGATTAAAATTTGCAACATTGAAACGTTCTTCTTTCAAAGACGATCATTTTAACCATGGGCTTAACCCCTCCCCTACCTGTATGTTCTTATCAGGTACATTATGATTACATATCAGGTAATAACAATTAGAGAATACTAGAGTAATGAAATAGAACGAGAGTCTTAAGTTTGGTTTAACCCCGATTTGAACATTTTCTCAGTTATATCACGGCGTGTCAGCTTGATGTTGGGGGAATTCCGAAGTGATGCAGGTATAAGTTGTTGTCACTTCGCTGACACCCAGGCGCACGGCATGATGTAGAAACATAATCCAGACGAATCTTGGATTCGAACTCAGGATTATGGTTTTCTGGTACGCCTATGGGTCGCTGCACAATGAATTGCGGTGCGTTGCCTGTGCATATACACTTAGGCCATATCTTATTAATACCCTGGTCAATATGATATTATCAGTGTGCACTCGATTTTCATTCTCAGCTCCCTGGGGAGTATACAACACAAGCAGCCTGTGAAGCTCTGGGTGAACAGAGGCATATTTCAAACAAAGACATTTTCCTGAGGAGACACCAATGTAACACGTGTTTCAGTTTGGGGCAGGATTGAAACAACCCAGAAATCAAGGTCCCGAACACAGTCACCCATCCAACTACTCTCCGCAACAAACATTGCTTAACGACACCTGATTTGTGACTGTGACTTGTGCGCTGTGAACAGGACCACGCGGTCGGTATTTTTCGATGTTATCATAATATGGAATTCACCCGAAGGTATTGGCAACATGCGATGACATGTCTTCTCTCTGTGTACAATCGTTTAATATAATCGGCGACAATACAAAATAACTAAAATATTAATATTCTTAAAAAACACCTTTCAATACACCATTGATCCTTTTTGCACCATCAGCCACGAAGACTACTCTCAAATGAACATGTTCCTGACGCCATTCATAATTAATTTTTGAACTGATCCTGCTCTCTGAATCTTCCGTCAGTAGGAATGATGTACAATTTGATACACGCAAAGGGGTGTCCTTGCTATTGCAGTATCGTCGAGGGATTTAGGCTGCATCATAAATACCCTTTGTTCTCTATCATGGTACTTCTTCACGATTTAGTATGGGAACAACAAGAGTAGAAGTATATTACATTTTACCAGCGTTCGAAATACCTGCCTGCCCGACCGTCCGAGACGGGTTGATTTCAACTCGGGCCGCCAGATTTTCAAATCCCCCTGCCCGACGGTCGGGTTATATTTCATATGTGAAAATATTCTAAATATTTCCCGATGATAATCATTAATTCACATGTAAAGATGAATGATAAAATGTAACCAAAAAGAAACCCCGTTAGCTTTGAGACAACCTAAAATTTAGGCCCTATTTAGGAATAAGGATATTTACATGATGTATTCTAGGATATTAAATACAAATCTGACCTAAAAAGTGTTTGCTGTTTCTTTTCTTGCATTACTTCATGTTCAATGAATTCGATTTAAAGTTTAATTAAATTATCCTGAGAAACATATGATTATAGTGGGCAGGCAGGTTTTGGTCAGGGCTGGCAAGAATTTCAGCTAGCCAGTCATGTGGTCTGGCTGAAATCTTTGGGAGTTTCATGACCTGATTTTACTACAACATCTATACAATGGTAAGCTGCCAGGTAAAAGAAAGTATACACTAGAAAACTGGATTTGAAATTGAAACCACCATGATCCTTGAGTGAGTGAGTGAGTGAGTTGGGTTTAGCGCCGCTTTTAACATTATTCCAGTTATATCACGGCAACCCATGCTTGCTGTAAGAGGCGACTATGCTTGTCGTAATGGGGCCTTTACACAGGATGGCGACCTTTGTGCCTCCCGTGTGCGACCATAGAATTTGTCAGGTCGTCGTTGGAGGCTCAAAGGAGGCAGAATGGTTGCCTAGGTCGTTCCAAGGTGGTACACAGGAGGTTCAGACATCGCCATGGACGCTATGGTCGCCGTGAATTTTTGAACATGTTCAAAACAGTCGCACAAAGGTCCCCGAGGAGGTTGGTTGCTCAAAGGTGTCTCAAAGGAGGCAGAAGGGAGAAACAAGTATTGCCGTTGTTGCAGAATGAAGGCACAGTGGTCGCCCAATGGTCGCCAGATAAAAGATGCGTTCTGCTGAAATACTGCCCCGTAAATCTAGGCGATACTTCTGCCTCCCTTGTGCCTTCTTTGGGCGACCAACAGCGTGCATTGAACGATGAGTATGGCGACCGCCGTGCCTCCATTCGGCGACCACGGCAACACTTAAGACACCATGGCAATGCTTATGCCTCTTTTCTGCCTCCTTTGAGCTACCTGTAGTGCCTCCTCAGCCTGACTATAAATGGAGGGCTTGTACCTGCGGTGTTTCATTGTGGTTGCAGACGCTGAACAACTCGAGCAGTTACTGCTGAACAACTGCTGGAACAGTTACATAGAAACATAATTTTCTGGGTTTAGGCGACCATTGAGCGTCCTGGCCAGTTTTTGATCGCTCGAAGGTGGCACAAAGGACGCAGCACTGTGTAATGGGGGCTTAAGAGGCGACTAACGGGATCGGGTGGTCAGGCTCGCTGACTTGGTTGATGCACATCTTCGATCCCCTTGCATGGATCGATGCTCATGATATTAATCACTGGATTGTCTGGTCCAGACTCGATCATTTACAGACCGCCGTCATATAGCTGGAATATTGCTGAGTGCGGCGTACAACAACAAACCAACCAACATCGAAAGAAGATACAAACAGCACAGCTATTATTTGAACATACATCAATTTCTTAATGTTCCGAAATGGGATATTGAAACATATGTGATTCAATGTGCATTAAAATACATGCTCGTATTGATGTCAAACACTGGATTGTCTGGCCCAGCCTCGATTATTTACAGGCCGTCGTCATATAACTGGAATATTGGTGAGTGCGGCGCTAAACAACAAACAACGTACATGAACATGTCCATGTTTCTTACGTTGCCTTGGGGCGTGAGGTCTTTCAAACAATGAAAATATATTTGATCTGATTTAACAATAGAACCGCATTCGTGTTTACGGTTTGTTACAGGTTGTTGATTTCTTAAGACTATGGTACTGGTCAGCCGAAAGTCTCGGGGATACCTTTATACAATGGACGCTCTGGATTTCCAAACAGTGCGAATAAAGGTTAGATCTCTCGAGGATTCAAACACACAGGGCCTGATCAATAGTCAGTGGCAGGTGATGAGTGATTGTAACAATTGCGCAGTTACAATGCCCCTGAAAACAGCGCCCGCTTTCATGTTGGCCTTGGGTAATCAAGGTTTGGCTGCCTGTCCTGCCTGCTCTCGTGTAACAGAAACACACCTTATTGGATAGCTTCTCTACTCTCTTGTCACAGAAACATACCTCACTGGTTACTTTCCTGCTGTCATGTTACAGAATCTTACCTTATTGGATAGCTTCCCTGCTCTCTTGTCACAGAAACACACCTTATTGGATAGCTTCCCTTCTCTCTTGTCACCTTAACATACCTTATTGGGTAGCTTCCCTGTTCTCTTGTCACCTTAAAATACCTTATTGGGTAGCTTCCCTGCTCTCTTGTCACCTTAACATATCTTATGGGGTAGCTTCCCTGCTCTCTTGTCACCTTAACATATCTTATTGGGTAGCTTCTCTACTCTCTTGTCAGCTTAACATACCTTATTGGGTAGCTTCCCTTCTCTCTTGTCAGCTTAACATACCTTATTGGGTAGCTTCCCTGCTCTCTTGTCACCTTAACATACCTTATGGGGTAGCTTCCCTGCTCTCTTGTCACCTTAACATACCGTATTGGGTAGCTTCCCTTCTCTCTTGTCACCTTAACATACCTTATTGTGTAGCTTCTCTACTCTCTTGTCACCTTAACATACCTTATTGGGTAGCTTCCCTTCTCTCTTGTCACCTTAACACACCTTATTGGGTAGCTTCCCTGCTCTCTTGTCACCTTAACATACCTTATTGGGTAGGTTCCCTTCTCTCTTGTCACCTTAACATATCTTATTGGGTAGCTTCCCTTCTCTCTTGTCACCTTAACATACCGTATTGGGTAGCTTCCCTTCTCTCTTGTCACCTTAACATACCTTATTGTGTAGCTTCTCTACTCTCTTGTCACCTTAACATACCTTATTGGGTAGCTTCCCTTCTCTCTTGTCACCTTAACACACCTTATTGGGTAGCTTCCCTGCTCTCTTGTCACCTTAACATACCTTATTGGGTAGGTTCCCTTCTCTCTTGTCACCTTAACATATCTTATTGGGTAGCTTCCCTTCTCTCTTGTCACCTTAACACACCTTATTGGGTAGCTTCCCTTCTCTCTTGTCACCTTAACATACCTTATTGGGTAGCTTCCCTTCTCTCTTGTCACCTTAACATACCTTATTGGGTAGCTTCCCTGCTCTCTTGTCACCTTAACACACCTTATTGGGTAGCTTCCCTTCTCTCTTGTCACCTTAACATACCTTATTGGGTAGCTTCCCTTCTCTCTTGTCACCTTAACACACCTTATTGGGTAGCTTCCCTGCTCTCTTGTCACCTTAACACACCTTATTGGGTAGCTTCCCTGCTCTCTTGTCACCTTAACATACCTTATTGGGTAGCTTCCCTGCTCTCTTGTCACCTTAACACACCTTATTGGGTAGCTTCCCTGCTCTCTTGTCACCTTAACATATCTTATTGGGTAGCTTCCCTGCTCTCTTGTCACCTTAACATACCTTATTTGGTAGCTTCCCTGCTCTCTTGTCACCTTAACATACCTTATTGGGTAGCTTCCCTGCTGTCTTGTCACCTTAACATACCTTATTGGGTAGCTTCCCTGCTCTCTTGTCACCTTAACATACCTTATTGGGTAGCTTCCCTGCTCTCTTGTCACCTTAACATACCTTATTGGGTAGCTTCCCTGCTCTCTTGTCACCTTAACACACCTTATTGGGTAGCTTCCCTTCTCTCTTGTCACCTTAACATACCTTATTGGGTAGCTTCCCTTCTCTCTTGTCACCTTAACACACCTTATTGGGTAGCTTCCCTTCTCTCTTGTCACCTTAACATACCTTATTGGGTAGCTTCCCTTCTCTCTTGTCACCTTAACACACCTTATTGGGTAGCTTCCCTGCTCTCTTGTCACCTTAACATACCTTATTGGGTAGCTTCCCTGCTCTCTTGTCACCTTAACATACCTTATTGGGTAGCTTCCCTGCTCTCTTGTCACCTTAACATACCTTATTGGGTAGCTTCCCTGCTCTCTTGTCAGCTTAACACACCTTATTGGGTAGCTTCCCTGCTCTCTTGTCACCTTAACATATCTTATTGGGTAGCTTCCCTGCTCTCTTGTCAGCTTAACATACCTTATTGGGTAACTTCCCTGCTCTCTTGTCAGCTTAACACACCTTATTGGGTAGCTTCCCTGCTCTCTTGTCACCTTAACACACCTTATTGGGTAGCTTCCCTGCTCTCTTGTCACCTTAACACACCTTATTGGGTAGCTTCCCTGCTCTCTTGTCACCTTAACATACCTTATTGGGTAGCTTCCCTGCTCTCTTGTCACCTTAACATATCTTATTGGGTAGCTTCCCTGCTCTCTTGTCACCTTAACATACCTTATTGGATAGCTTCTCTACTCTCTTGTCACCTTAACATACCTTATTGGGTAGCTTCCCTGCTCTCTTGTCACCTTAACATACCTTATTGGGTAGCTTCCCTGCTCTCTTGTCACCTTAACATATCTTATTGGGTAGCTTCCCTTCTCTCTTGTCACCTTAACATACCTTATTGGGTAGCTTCTCTACTCTCTTGTCACCTTAACATATCTTATTGGGTAGCTTCCCTTCTCTCTTGTCACCTTAACACACCTTATTGGGTAGCTTCCCTTCTCTCTTGTCACCTTAACATACCTTATTGGGTAGCTTCCCTGCTCTCTTGTCACCTTAACATATCTTATTGGGTAGCCTCCCTTCTCTCTTGTCACCTTAACACACCTTATTGGGTAGCTTCCCTTCTCTCTTGTCACCTTAACATACCTTATTGGGTAGCTTCTCTACTCTCTTGTCACCTTAACATACCTTATTGGGTAGCTTCCCTGCTCTCTTGTCACCTTAACATACCTTATTGGGTAGCTTCCTTGCTCTCTTGTCACCTTAACATACCTTATTGGGTAGCTTCCCTTCTCTCTTGTCACCTTAACATACCTTATTGGGTAGCTTCCCTGCTCTCTTGTCACCTTAACATACCTTATTGGGTAGCTTCCCTGCTCTCTTGTCACCTTAACATACCTTATTGGGTAGCTTCCCTGCTCTCTTGTCACCTTAACATATCTTATTGGATAGCTTCCCTGCTCTCTTGTCACCTTAACATATCTTATGGGGTAGCTTCCCTGCTCTCTTGTCACCTTAACATATCTTATTGGGTAGCTTCCCTTCTCTCTTGTCACCTTAACATACCGTATTGGGTAGCTTCCCTTCTCTCTTGTCACCTTAACATACCTTATTGTGTAGCTTCTCTACTCTCTTGTCACCTTAACATACCTTATTGGGTCGCTCCCCTTCTCTCTTGTCACCTTAACATACCTTATTGGGTAGCTTCCCTGCTCTCTTGTCAGCTTAACATACCTTATTGGGTAGCTTCCCTGCTCTCTTGTCACCTTAACATACCTTATTGGGTAGCTTCCCTGCTCTCTTGTCACCTTAACATACCTTATTGGGTAGCTTCCCTGCTCTCTTGTCACCTTAACATATCTTATTGGATAGCTTCCCTGCTCTCTTGTCACCTTAACATACCTTATTGGATAGCTTCCCTGCTCTCTTGTCACCTTAACATACCTTATTGGATAGCTTCCCTTCTCTCTTGTCACCTTAACACACCTTATTGGGTAGCTTCCCTGCTCTCTTGTCACCTTAACATACCTTATTGGGTAGCTTCCCTGCTCTCTTGTCACCTTAACATACCTTATTGGGTAGCTTCTCTACTCTCTTGTCACCTTAACACACCTTATTGGGTAGCTTCCCTACTCTCTTGTCACCTTAACACACCTTATTGGGTAGCTTCCCTGCTCTCTTGTCACCTTTACATACCTTATTGGGTAGCTTCTCTGCTCTCTTGTAGCTTAACATACCTTATTGGGTAGCTTCCCTGCTCTCTTGTCACCTTAACATACCTTATTGGGTAGCTTCCCTGCTCTCTTGTCACCTTAACATACCTTATTGGGTAGCTTCCCTGCTCTCTTGTCACCTTAACATACCTTATTGGGTAGCTTCCCTGCTCTCTTGTCACCTTAACATATCTTATTGTGTAGCTTCCCTGCTCTCTTGTCACTTTAACATACCTTATTGTGTAGCTTCCCTGCTCTCTTGTCACCTTAACATACCTCATTGGGTACCTTACCTGCTCTCTTGTCACCTTAACATACCTTATTGGGTAGCTTCCCTGCTCTCTTGTCACCTTAACATACCTTATTGGGTAGCTTCCCTGCTCTCTTGTCACCTTAACATACCTTATTGGGTAGCTTCCCTTCTCTCTTGTCACTTTAACATACCTTATTGGGTAGCTTCCCTGCTCTCTTGTCACCTTAACATATCTTATTGGGTAGCTTCCCTTCTCTCTTGTCACCTTAACATATCTTATTGGGTAGCTTCCCTTCTCTCTTGTCACCTTAACATACCTTATTGGGTAGCTTCCCTGCTCTCTTGTCACCTTAACACACCTTATTGGGTAGCTTCCCTGCTCTCTTGTCACCTTAACATATCTTATTGGATAGCTTCCCTGATCTCTTGTCACCTTAACATACCTTATTGGGTAGCTTCCCTGCTCTCTTGTCACCTTAACATACCTAATTGGGTAGCTTCCCTTCTCTCTTGTCACCTTAACATACCTCATTGGGTACCTTACCTGCTCTCTTGTCACCTTAACATACCTTATTGGGTAGCTTCCCTGCTCTCTTGTCACCTTAACATACCTTATTGGGTAGCTTCCCTGCTCTCTTGTCACCTTAACATATCTTATTGGATAGCTTCCCTGATCTCTTGTCACCTTAACATACCTTATTGGGTAGCTTCCCTGCTCTCTTGTCACCTTAACATACCTAATTGGGTAGCTTCCCTTCTCTCTTGTCACCTTAACATACCTCATTGGGTACCTTACCTGCTCTCTTGTCACCTTAACATACCTTATTGGGTAGCTTCCCTGCTCTCTTGTCACCTTAACATACCTTATTGGGTAGCTTCCCTGCTCTCTTGTCACCTTAACATATCTTATTGGATAGCTTCCCTGCTCTCTTGTCACCTTAACATATCTTATTGGGTAGCTTCTCTACTCTCTTGTCACCTTAACATATCTTATTGGGTAGCTTCCCTTCTCTCTTGTCACCTTAACATATCTTATTGGGTAGCTTCCCTTCTCTCTTGTCACCTTAACATATCTTATTGGGTAGCTTCCCTACTCTCTTGTCACCTTAACATATCTTATTGGGTAGCTTCCCTTCTCTCTTTTCACCTTAACATACCTTATTGGTTACGTTTCTGCTTTCTTGTCACAGAAACATGTCTTTTTGGGTAGCTTCCCTTCTCTCTTGTCAGAGAAACATGCCTTATTGGGTAGCTTCCCTTCTCTCTTGTCAGAGAAATAAACGTTATTGGGTAACTTCCCTTCTCTCTTGTCACAGAAACATGTCTTATTGGGTAGCTTCCCTTCTCTCTTGTCAGAGAAATAAACCTAATTGGGTAGCTTCCATACTTTCTTATAACAGAAACCTAATTGGTTGTTCTTACCCACTCTTAATTGGTTGTCATTCCTGTTCAAATGTTCCTTATCCACCTTCAACTTTATTGAAAGAAATATGTTTCATAGGCCAATTACAATTGACAGACAGACAGACAGACAGTTTTATTTGCATGAAGGCCATCAGACCCATAGCGCAAAAAGGTTTACAAGTACCATTTTACAGAGAGTTATTTCTTAAGGGGAGATTAACAGGTGCTTTATCTTCCCGTGAAGATACAATTCAGGAACCTGGCAAAGTTTAACATGACATTAACATTTGTTGACTGACATATTCTTTGTAATTAATAATAGTTATCACTTACAGTTTTGGGAATTAAATATGTCCGCTCACCATCGTAGGGCACACAGTGGTCTTACAATAGAGACATATTCAATTGATGGTATTAATACTATTTCATTAAGTATACCCGGGCGTGGCATTTGAAGCAATGATACTACGAAATAGTACCAACGCACCCAACGTTGTACAGCCTGAGAGAACTTACCCGTTTCTGCTCCATCCGTATAGCAGTACTGAGCATAGGGAGGATGTCGTTGTCTTCTTCATCATCAGCATCCTCCTCGGGTAGATCCGGCTTGCCACTCAGAACGGCCTTGACCTCGTCTGAACTTTGGCATTGATCTAGCAAGGCCAAGGTGAAAGTTTCGACTTGAGCTGCAAGTTCGTTGTAGATCACCTGAAATGTTTATGTCGTTGTTAGAGTACAATGGGTATTTTGAAATATAAGAAACAAAGGTGTTGTAATGGGTGTGTGTTTATTATTACTTTAGTTTTTAGTTTAACATTCTAGTTCCACAGGAAGGTATCTCCTATCAGCCAATGACCTTTAACCTCTCCTGTTCCTGTAAATCGAAACTATGACATCATTTAGTAAGTACTTCAAGCACCAGGCTGACGCACCGAACACAATGACCAACATTAGTGAGTGAGTGAGTTGGGTTTAACGCCGCTTTTAACAGTATTCCAGTCATATCACGGCGTGTCAGCTTAATGTGGGAGGAAAGCCCGAAGTGATGCAGGTCTTAGACGTTTACCACTTCGATGAAACCCACGAGCACGGATATGGTGCTGACAAACCTAGAACCATAATCGGGGAGAACAGGGATTCGAACCCACAATCATACTATTAGGTTTCTGGCGTGACTAAGGGACTCTGCACAGCGAATTGCGGCGCCTAAGACAACTGGGTCACCCGTGCCCCATGACCAACATTAAGCAATTAAGGCCAGACTTTTAACACACTTGCTTAACGTATCCCCCGACTCCAAAACATTGACTGTGAAAAGCAGTGGAGTTTTTATTCCGGCGACCAGAAATAAGTAAAATGTTGTTTTTTTTAAACTCATTTTCTGTCGCTATCCGTATGAATAAAATATATAATTTATTTGAAATATGATAAAATAATAATGTTGAAAATTTATCTTAAAAACTTTAAAATAAAATGAATTATGACGGTCGCGGGAGGAAATAAAAAAATATGTTTTTAATTGGGTTTTTTCAATGTCTTACTTAAGTAAGTGTTAATGAGTATTGTATGGGTTAGTCAGAGGCTTAAAATGCGAAAGTCGACACTGTAAAATGTAAGCCTTTTCAATAGCAATCAGTAGTCATATAAATGTACGCAGGAGTGCATTCAACAAAACATAACTATTGTCATTTTGAAACAAATATGACAAAACGCATGGATATTTCTCCAAATTTGGTATTTTGTTTGGAGAATTCTCCAAGACTACTAAAAGCGTCTTTCTTTGAAAGGAGAAGCCAAAGTTTTGCAGCCCTTTTTTTGTACAAAAAAGGCAGGGAAGCTTGTATGTCGGAATTTAACTGAATACACGAACCAAATATTTCAGAAACGGCATCGATGTCTCTTAAACATAAAAGGGAACCACTCATATCACTGCCGAAAAATATTTCTTGGATCTAAATTTAAACAGGTCTCGTACCTTTAGATGTCAAGCTCACATGATATCTTCAGTTTGCAGGTTATGTTATATAAAAGTTGAGTATTTTTCAAAGAGTATTTTCTTTTTTATCCTTATATTCATTAATTCTACTTCGTATTGACAACGAACAAAAGGTATAAAAATCCCTTACCGCCTCCACGTGAAGTATTGGAACATTTGGATTTCTTAACGGACAGTTATAATTATTATAGTATTTTCCTGGAGCGTAGCGAGGAAGCCAGACGTCGGATACTTATGTGATTGTGTGTGGCAAGCAGCGGTAATGTGATGTAATCATGGAGAGATTTTTATGTAACTATGCGGGGGTTGGAATTAACGAACTGCCACGAACACGTGGTGGTTCTTGGTGTTTCGAATATGTATTTTTTTCTGTCGCGTTCGACATTGCACCCTGTGGTTTTGTTTTAACGGGATTTTGTTTAACAAGGCTCGGTGTAGGTTTAGACACGCGGCGGCTTCAAAAGACATCTTGAACATGGTGTGATGTAATGATAGTAAAATAGTTGAAGGTGCAATGGTTCACCTTGCAAGGCTATAGTGAGTGAGTGACTGAGTGAGTTGGGTTTTACGCCGCTTTTAACAGTATTCCAGTTATATCACGGCGTGTCAGCTTAATGTGGCAGGAAAGCCCGAAGTGATGCAGATCTTCGAGGTTTACCACTTCGGTGAAACCCACGAGCACGGGTATGGTGCTGACAAACCTAGAAACATAATCGGGGTGAACCGGGATTCGAACCCACAATCATAGGTTTCTGGCGTACCCAAGGGACGCAACTCTGCACAGCGAATTGCGGCGCCTTAGACGACTGGCCCACCAGTGCCCCCGCAATGCTATAGTAATTTATACAAGGTGTAGGGTAACGGCGGTTAATATTTGAAGATGCAAAGTTATCATATTAGAAGGTTCAAAGTAACGGTAATTAATAGAAGGTGCAAGGTAACGCTAGTTAACCGTAGAAGTTAAAAGGCAACGGGAGTTAATCTTAGAAGGTGCAAAGTTTCAGTAGTTTGTGGCACAATGTGCAAAGTAACGGTAATTAATAGAAGGTGCAAGGTAACGCTAGTTAAACCATGGCTCCTTTGCCCGTGGTCTAACTAACTGAATTGTTAGTTAAACACCACTTGGCAATGACGGAACTTCTTTTTTCCCCTATCATTTATTTTGATGATAGAACAAATTCATGAAAAACGTTTGTCGCCAACGGAATTCGAACTGGGAAGGCTGACGAACGTCGTCTTCTGCCACGGCGACATGGGAGAAATTGTGTGAAATTAACAACTTAATATGCGTATCCGTTTATGAACCGCGAAATATGTTTTTGCAAATTTTTTTATAGTATGTTACTTTATGCATTCTAGTATTTGTACAGTACTTTGCTCATACTAGGCCCACATATAGTGGCTGCGTGCCTCGTGGTTTAATTAACTATTTCAACTATTAGACACTGGTTCCTCGTATACTTAATCGTAGAGTTTACCGTAGAAGGTGAAGAGTTACAGTAGTTTATGGCGCAATGTGCAAAGTAACGGTAATTTATGATACAAGATGACGGGATTCATGGTAAAAAGTGCACGATACCCATACACCATACGGCGTGTCTTCATAACGTGCTTCTTAATACAAGGGTCGATATTAGTAGATTCAGTGATACCAGATTCTTCATAAAAGGAGTCGGCATAACGGGACTTATCGACATAGCCAGATGTAAAGTTCTTTGTCTTGACTTACAGTGTCCTGTATTACAGTACAAGAAAACTGTTACTTTTTATGTATGTATGTATGTAGATGCGACATGTGGTGCAAAACATGCTGATTATGTGTAATCAACAGTGGTAATATGATGTAATCATTGTGGAATTTTTTACCATACGACGCAGGAGGTGAAATTAACGAACACCTGAGGTCAATGTTTATAATTTGCCGATGAAGAATTCATAGTCCCATAGGAAAAAAATGATTGAATGTAGCTCCAATCCTTAAATGGCATGAACGTGACATAGCTTCCCGAAACTAGGCCTATGGTGCGGTCGTTTCTAAACTCAGGAATGGTCACCTATTGCTAAATCTGTTGGACGTTAGACACCTTCTGGAAGGGCAACTTATCCTAGGATACAATGTCCAGCGGACATCGGGTTCTCTGGACACCGTCTTGAATTCGTGTACGTACTCGTGCCATGAGTTTATGAGTTTTACGGCGTATGGAGATATCGATAACCTTCGCATATGTTCCTGTGGACGGTGCCCTCTTTGCCTGTCCCAGTTGTTAAGGTACAGGGCCAATGATTCGTAATAATGCTTTAAACAATGGGGTATCATGGTATAGTCTATGTCAGACATAATTATCACTGGTACATGTATCACTGTTTAAAAAGCGTTAGCTCGTCACGTCAAAGACCCGGGTTCGATTCCTGACATGGGTACAATATGTAAAGCCCATTTCTGGTGTCCCCCGCCGTGATTTTGCTGGAATATTGCTAAAAGCGGCGTAAAACCATACTCACTCACTCACTGTTTAAAACATGGTTAACCATATTTTTATTCACAAAAGTTTATCTGGATTGGTAACTTTCTGATATATAAAATCATATCATTTGTTTATGTATGTGTCGTTAAGTAATTATTTTATGGTGCAATGCAAATGGATACAATGAACATAATACGTTATACAGCAATATATAATATTTATCACTGATACAGTGTTTACTGTATTTTACATTTACAGTAAAAGTTTAGTTTTATCACTCCATATGTATACAATGAATAACAATCATTGACGGTTATCACTGTACACAAATTCCCGGTCACATAAGCTTGACTGAGATCCGGGTTAGAATAGGTCTTCAGCAACCAATGCGTTCCCTAAAAGGCGAATATGATTGTTGTGAAAGGCGATTCAAGGGATCGGGGGTCAGGCTTGCTGGCTTGATTAATGCATGCGTGGATCGATGCTCATGATGTCAATCACTTGATTGTCTGGTCCAGACTCGTATTTTTACAGACCGCCGTCATATAGCTGGAATATCGCTGAGTGCGACGTTAAACATCCTCGCCTAACCAACGACGTGTCGACTTTACTCATTTAAATGCCATCAGTGCCAAAGTGCTAGTCTTGACGGAAATAGTATATGCAAATACAACAATAACGGTAAACTGAATTCACTCATCTGTAACAAACCAAATACGTATATATATATATGTGTATGTGTGTGTGTGTGTGTGTGTGTGTGTGTGTGTGTGTGTGTGTGTGTGAGTGTGTGTGTGTGTGTGTGTTTGCGTTGTTTGTGTGTCATTACGTTCAATTACAATTGCCTGATAACTGAGCAAGTTGCAAGCTCTACAGCTGTTATTAACCAGAGTCAAGCCCGCTGTTTGAAGATATGATCTCAACATAAAAGCACGGAGCAGGCCGACTCATGCATAATGGCGCAATACTTGACTTATATCGCCACGTTATCAGGAAGTAAATAATCCGGGCCTATTTCATCCCTATTACACGGAGATGAAGGACAATTAACAACAATCAGGTTATTGCTTGACATGGAATTTATGTCACTGGTCACTGGGGTGTCGGCACTAAATCTGAATAAGGTCTGTAATGATCACTAGGCCGCCATCAACTGGTAACTACAGCCATATTTGTCAGTGGTGGAAAATCTGGTTCATGGGGTTCGACCACCTTTGAAATAAAAGCGACAAAACTATTTGCATATT